TGTTTTTTAATTTTTTAAAAAAAGACGGGGTTTCACCATGTTAGTCAGGCTGGTCTTGAACTCCCGACCTCAGGTGATCCGCCCGCCTTGGCCTCCAAAGTGCTTGGATTACAGGCGTGAGCCACCATGCCCGGCCTACAAATCTTATTTAAACACATAAAAGATCACGGCTGGGCATGGTGGCACACACCTGTAGTCCCAGCTACGTGGGAGGCTGAGGCAGGGGAATCGCTTGAACTCAGGAGGCGGAGGTTGAAGTGAGCCAAGGTCATGCCACTGCACTCCAGCCTGGTGATGGAGCAAGACTCCATCTCAAAAAAAAAAAAAAGGAAAAGAAAAATTCTGTCATAAATCATTTCCTCATTCCTTTGTCCCCAGTCATGAGGTCCCTGAGGGCAGGGGATCCTAACAGACCTAGATGCTTTAAGTGCTTTATAAACATGAGTTAATGATGAATAATCCTTGCTTTACAAAGGAGGAAACAGAGGGCCAGGGAGGGCCCCCCGCCGAGTCTCCACACAGAAGGGCTGTTGTACCCCTGGAGTTTGAGCCCAGACTGCACCAAATCTACCCGCAGGTGGGTGAGCGAATCCCTCAATCCGTTCCCCGCGTAAGCAAAGCTCCAAAGATTGCAGGGAGCAGGCTTGGCTTCTCAGACTGGGGTTCCAGGACGAGGCTTTCCCCTCTGGTGACTTTTTCTTGTTTTGAGACAAAGTCTCACTCTGTCGCCCAGGCGGGAGTGCAGTAGTGTGATCTGGGCTCACTGCAGTAGGTTGGGGGTGGGGGCTCACACCTGCAATCCCAGCTCTTTGGGAGACTGAGGCAGGCGGATCACCTGAGGTCAGGAGTTCAAGACCAGCCTGGCCAACATGGTGAAACCCTGTCTCCACTAAAAATACAAAAATTACCTGGGTGTGGTGGCGGGCACTCTGACATCTGGGTTCAAGCGATCTTCTCACCTCAGCCTCCTGAGTAGCTCGGGAAACAGATGCACACCACCACATCCAGGTAATTTTTTGTGTTTTTAGTAGAGTCAGATTTTCGCCATGTTGGCCAGGCTGGTCTCAAACACCTGACCTCAAGTGATCTGTCCGCCTTGGCCTCCCAAAGTGCTGGGATTACAGGCGTAAGCCATCCCCTGTGGCCTTCTGCTGACTTTTTTTTTTCTTTTTTTTTTTGAGACGGAGTTTCGTTCTTGTTACCCAGGCTGGAGTGCAATGGCGTGATCTCGGCTCACCGCAACCTCCGCCTCCTGGGTTCAGGCAATTCTCCTGCCTCAGCCTCCTGAGTAGCTGGGATTACAGGCACGTGCCACCATGCCCAGCTAATTTTTTGTATTTTTAGTAGAGACGGGGTTTCACCATGTTGACCAGGATGGTCTCGATCTCTTGACCTCGTGATCCACACGCCTCGGCCTCCCAAAGTGCTGGGATTACAGGCTTGAGCCACCGCGCCAGGCTTTTTTTTCTTTTAAGAGATGGGGTTCCTCCATGTTGGCCAGGCTGGTCTCAAACTCCTGACCTCAGGTGATACACCCACCTCGGCCTCCCAAAGTGCTGAGATTACAGGCGTGAGCCACCGCGCCTGGCCTGACTTCGTTTTTTTTTTTTTTTGAGATGGAGTCTCGCTCAGTCGCCCAGGCTGGAGTGCAGTGGCGCAGTCTCGGCTCACTGCAACCTTTATCTCCCAGGTTCAAGCAATTCTCCGGTTTCAGTCTCCTGAGTTGCTGGGATTACAGGCACTCACCATCATGCCCAGCTGTTGGGCATGGAGGCGGCGGCCTCAGAGTGGGCATTTCAGGCCACAGGTGGGACCCAGTGCACGTGCTCTGAAGTGGGAGTGAGCAGCTTGGCCAGTGGGCAGTGAGAAGCTTCAGCCACCCTCTGAGGTGCCCAGGAAAGCCACAGACGATGCTGGAGCAAGGAGGTGGAAGCACCGCCGGTTAGAGGGGTCCCTTGGTGCCGGGCGCGGTGGCAGGTGCCTGTAATCCCAGCTACTCGGGAGGCTGAGGCAGGAGAATCACTTAAACCCGGGAGGCGGAGGTTGCGGTGAGCCAAGATTGTGCCATTGCACTCCAGCCTGGGCCACAAGAGTGAGACCCCGTCTCAAAAAAAAATAAAAGAGGTGTCCCTTGGTGTGTGCTGGTGGTGGGGGTGGGGATCCTAGAGGCCACCGCCAGGGCACAAGTGGCCAAGCCAGAGCCCCAGCCTGTGCCTGGGGACCAGGAATAAGCTCCCTCTGGCAGACCCAGGGAAGAGACCGTAGCGTGTGAGTCACCCGGCTGCTGTGAGAACATTCGGCGCCCGGCAGCCCCGCGTGGGCTGTCACCAAGCAGGAACACGGCCCCCAGAGCCCCTCCGAGCCGCCTTCCCCACGGGCTCCTGCTCTCTGTTCCCACAGCTGCTCCCTCAAGGCCACAGAAGGAGCGTGGGATGGGGGGACAGGCGGAGAGGAGGCCGTGTGGGCGGCAGAGCCAGCATTTGGGAGCTCCGGGGTGGGGTGGGAGTGGGGTGGGGCTTCCCTGGCAGAGGGCCCACTGTGTTCTGGGGCTGCTGGAGTCTCAGGACTCTGCGCAGGGTGGGGAAACTGAGGCTGCATCTATTCTGCACATGGACAGACACCTCCTTCTCTCCTAAGAGCTGAAACCCTGCCCAGGGCCTGCAGAGTCAGTGTGACTACTCCCTCTCTCTCTGGCTCCAAACTCTCCCATGGCTCCCCAGTGCCTTCAGAATGAAACCCACACAACTTGCCAAGACTCACGAGGCTCTGCTCAGTTCCTGTAAGCCCCTAGGTCTCAGCAACCCCACAAGCTTTTCTCATGACCCACCTGTCCCTACCTCAGGGCCTTTGCACATGCTCCAACCCCCACTGCCTAAAGCACCCTTTTAAAATTACACCTGTTTCATCCCTTAGGAAATGTGCGAAGAGTTTATGAAATGTAACATGCCCAGGAACACACAGCAAGCTGGCGGGACTTGGTCCATCTGACTACCCCACTCCCAGCCCCTGGGGGCCCTTTCCCCACCATGCTGTCACATCAAAAACAGACCTGGGCTGGGCATAGTGGCTCATGTCTGTAATCTCAGCAGTTTGGGAAGCTGAGGCGGGTGGATCACCTCAGGTCAGGAGTTCCAGACCAGCCTGGTCAACATGGTGAAACCCCATCTCTACTAAAAATACAAAAATTAGCTGGGCATGGTGGTGCACGCCTGTAATCCCAGCTACTCAGGAGGCTGAGGCAGGACAATTTCTTGAGCTTGGGAGGAGGAGGTTGCAGTGAGCTGAGATCGCATCACTGCACTCCAGCCTAGGTGACAGAGTGAGACTCTGTCTCAAAAAAAAAAAAAACAAACCAACAACACAAACTTTCAGACCAATCCACCATGGAGCTGGCTGATTGTCAGCCCCTCTAGATTTTTTTTTTTTTTTTTTTTTTTTTTTTGAGACACAATCTTGCTCTGTCACCCAGACTGGAGTGCAATGATGAGATCTCAGCTCACTGCAACCTCCACCTCCCAGGTTCAAGCAATTTTCCTGCCTCAGCCTCCCGAGGAGCTGTGACTACAGGCAGGCGCCACCATGCCCAGCTAATTTTTTAAATTTTTAGTGGAGCTTGGGTTTCACTATATTGGCCAGGCTGCTCTTGAATCCTGACCTCATGATCTGCCTGCCTTGACTTCCCAAAGTGTTGGAATTACAGGCGTGAGCCACCGCCCCATGCCCCTCCAGGTTGTGCCACCTGTAGCTAGGCGCCAAAGACTGTCAGTTCTCGGGCCCAATCCCCCCGTTCAGGGAGCTCCAAGGCCACCCGGCCCCCAATTCCCGCAGCGCCACCCCTGATGTGGCCTCAATTTCTCCGTCCCACTTTCTGCCCTTCAAGCACTGCTGATGGTGGAGTCTTCAAGGACGCCGCAGCCAAAAATAATCGGGCCCTGACCTACCTCCAAAAATTGGGGCAGCCCCGCCCAGCCACCTGGCACCCAGGAGGTAATTAGTGCATGTGGCAAATTAGGGTAATTAGGTCTGCGGGAACTGAACCTCGGGTCCAGGTTTGGTGCTCAAAGGGTCCTCAAGCACCGCCTCCTCCCATCCCCCACTCACCCTGGTCCTAGATCCTCAAATCCACTACCCAGTGCTGGCGACCGCAACTCCCCGACCCTTTCTTGCCGGGACCTGAGGGAGCCTGGCTCCGTTGCTTCACGGGGGTTGTTTGTTGAATGAATTAGCTTTGGCCGTGGGCAGAAGTCAAGTTCTGAAATTTAAGGCAGGGTCTCCTTCAAGGGATGCAAAATCATCAATAGTGTTGAGTCATCAAACTCCCCTTTGCCTGACCCACATGTGTGCACGCTGTGCTGGAAGATGAGAAATTCTAGGGAAGCATCAGCCCTGGTCTCAGCCCTTAAGAGCCACGCAGGCTGGGGGAGTCAAAGCTGGACACAGACACTCCCAGGGGTCAGGGCTGGGCCAGAAAGAGGGAAGAGGGCTGGAGAAGGTCTAGAGGTGGAGGAGAGAGAGCTTCTTGGAGAGGAGAGCATTGAAGGTGAGGCTTTGAGGGATGAATAGGAGTTTCCCAAGAGGCAAATGTCTGGAAGTTGGCTCAACCAGCTACGGTTTGGGGAATGAGGAGAAGGAAGAGGGAGGTGGCTGGAGGGGGCACCTGAGGGTCCAGGAGCTAAAGATTTAGAGGATGGGGCCGGGCGCGGTAGCTCACGCCTGTAATCCCAGCACTTTGGGAGGCCGAGGTGGGCAGATCACGAGGTCAAGAGATCGAGACCATCCTGGTCAGCATGGTGAAACCCCGTCTCTACTAAAAATACAAAAAATTAGCTGGGCATGGTGGTGCGTGCCTGTAATCCCAGCGACTCAGGAGGCTGAGGCAGGAGAATTGCCTGAACCCAGGAGGCGGAGGTTGCAGTGAGCCGAGATCGCGCCATAGCACACCAGCCTGGGTAACAAGAGCGAAACTCTGTCTCAAAAAAAAAAAAAAAAAGATTTAGAGGATGGGTGGCCGGCTAAGGCGGCTTCTTCCGGCCAGGCAGAGCGGTGGATACAGTCGTTGAGGGACCCTGGCTGCGGAATTTGTGGCTTTAGCAGATTGAGATCATGACAGGTCCAGAAGCTGATGAACAATTTCAGTTCACTGGTATTAAAAAATATTTCAGCTCTTATACTCTCAGAGGTAGAAGGAATTGTGTACTGGCCACATATGGAGGCATTGCTTGGATTATCTTATATTTCAAGTTAAGGTCCAAAAAAACTCCAGCTGTGAAAGCAACATAAATGGATTTTAAACTGTCTCCGGTTCTTAACCTCATCTGTTAAGTTCCATGCCTGGAGAAGCTAATCCCAACTCATCATGTGATAATACAATTTGTACAATACATTATGAACCTGGAAAAAAAAAAGATTTAGATCATGTTGGCTGGGCACAGTGGCTTATGCCTATAATCCCAGCACTTTGGAAGGCAGAGGCAGGTGGATCACGAGGTCAGGAGTTCAAGACCAGCCTGGCCAAGATGGTGAAACCCTGTCTCTACTACAAATACAAAAAAAAAAAAAATTTAGCTGGGTGTGGTATCAGATGCCTGTAATCCCAGCTACTAGGGAGGCTGAAGCAGAGAAGGGCTTGGACCTGGAAGGCGGAGGTTGCAGTGAGCCCAGATCACGCCATTGCACTGACAGAGCGAAACTCTGACTCAAAAAAAAAAAAAAAGATTTAGAGGGTATCATGCCAGGTTGGACCCATTCCTGCCTTCGAGAGTTCAGGTGTCGTTGGAGTCCTCTAACCCTTGAAAAAGAAAATCCTAAGAAGTTGCCTTAGGATCAAAACCACGTATCAAAAATAAATATGGTGTTTATAATAGCAAGCATTTATTAAGCGCCTATAATCACCTTCTCTTCACATAACAACTCATTGGAGGCCATGTGCAGTGGCTCACACATGTAATCCCCGCCCTTTGGGAGGCTGAGGCAGGCAGATCACTTGAGTCCAGGAGTTGGAATCCTCCTGGGCAACATAGTGACTCGCCATCTCTACAAAAAATACAAAAGTTAGCCAGGTGTTAGCAGTGTGCGCCTGTAGTCCCAGCCAGAGTCTAAGGTGGGAGGATTACGGATTGCTTGAACCCAGAAAGCTGAGGCTGCAGTGAGCTGTGATCGAGGAGGCACTGCACTACAGCCTGGGCAACAGAGTGAGGCCCTGTCTTAACAACAAAAAAAAGCCAGGTGCAGTGGCTCACACCTGTAATCCAGCACTTTGGGAGGCCAAGGTGGATGAAATGTTTGAGTTCAGGAGTTGGAGACCAGTCGGGCCAGCATGGTGAAACCCCTGTCTCTACTAAAAATACAAAAATTAGCTGGGCATGGTGGCATGTGCCTGTAATCCCAGCTACCAGGGAGGCTGAGGCAGGAGAATCGCTTGAACCAGGAAGGTGGAGTTGCAGTGAGCCGAGATCGCACCACTGCACTCCAGCCTGGGGGACAGGGCGAGACTCCATCTCAAAAAAAAAAAAAAAAAGAACTCATTAGATCCCTACAGTAAACCTCAGAAGTGACACATTCATATGCCCTTTTATGGATGGAGAACATGAAGCACAGGGAAGGGAAGGTGACTTCAGGGTGGCACTGCTGGCAAGCGGCAGGGCTGGGACTCACTCCCTGGCTCACGTGATTCCAAAGCCTACTGTATTGAAAGCTGGAACCCAGGGATCTCCTGCTTCTGAAAGTGCTTATAGAAAGTGGTTGCAGGTCAGGCTTGTTCTAGGTGCCAGGAGACATCCATGTAAGAGATGAACTGTAACCAAATCATGCCATAAACAGACCTGAAGCAGTACCAAGACCGTCACTGGGAGTTGGGCACCCAGCTTTGGGGAAGAGCCGCTGGACTGTCGCTGCTCTGGTGGGACAGCCTCTGGAGAGGAGAGACAGTTCAGCCTCACTCCAAAGGCTGCCTCAGATCTAACCAGGCAAAGACCAGAGCCTGAGCTTCCTTAGTGCTGAATGAGCTGTTCTAGCTCCCGCTTGGTTTCCCCTTTAAGACAGAAAGCTCAATCCCCCATACCATTTCTCAGCCCCAAAGGAAAGTTGCTTTCCTAGTCAGCTACCTTGGGGTGGTGGCCTCTGCCAACCCTGCAAGGACATCCCAAGTCCTGCCTTCCTTCCTTCATTTCTTCTTTCCTTCCTTTTTTTTTAGAGATGGGGTTTCACCATGTTTGGCCAGACTGGTCTCGAACTCCTGACCTAGGTGATCTGCCCACCTCGGCCTCACAAAGTGCTGGGATTACAGGCGTGAGCCACTGAGCCCACTCCCCCACTCCCTTCCTTCCTTCTTTCCTTTTTCCTTTTCTTTTTATTTTGAGACAGAGTCTCCCTCTGTCACCAGGCTGGAGTGCAGTGGCACATTCTTGGCTCACTGCAACCTCTGCCTCCTGGGTTCAAGCAATTCTCCTGCCTCAGCCTCCTGAGTAGCTGAGATTACAGGCATGCGCCACCATGCCCGGCTAATTTTTGTATTTTTAGTAGAGACAGAGTTTCGCCATGTTTTGGCCAGGATGGTCCCGAACTCCTGACCTCAGGTAATCCACCTGCCTCAGCCTCCCAAAGTGCTGGGATTACAGACCTCAGCCACTGCACCTGGCCCAGTTCTTTAGAAGAGAGGCCTCCAGACCTAGGAAGAAGAGGGCTCAGACCAGAGTGGGGCCAGCAGCTCAGGGCTGCCCTCGTTAGAGACGAGGCCTCACTATGTTGCCCAGGCTGGTCTTGTACTCCTGAGCTCAAGCAGTCCTCCAGCCTCAGCCTCCCGAAATGCTGAAATGACAGATGTGAGCCCAGCCCCTTTCTGTGACTCTTCTGTTACCTGTTTATTACATGACCAGGTCTGGGTGCTCCTCTAGGGCTGGCCAATCCATCCTGAAGCCTCAGTCTGCCCCAGCACAAGAGTGATTGTTCATCCCAGCAGGGGAAACTGAGGCACAGATTCAGTTTCCCCAGTTGCAGCAAAGAGCTGCAGGGCCTCTGCCTGTGAACCTAATGACAGGCACCCCAGAGCACAGCTGCTGGTATTGACCGAATCCTTCATGTTCCTCCCTCTACCAGAGACTTGCAAGCATCAGCCCATTTTCCAGGTGAGAAAACTGAGGTCCACACTGAGGAAGCCACTGCCTCAGTGTAGACTTGTGTATTCCAGCTTCAGGATGGGGCTGCTCAAGGCCAGCCCTGTCTCAGCCCCTCCCAGAGACTGGACAGGGGGTTCAGGGAAGGAATTCAGCCCTTCACTGCCTCACTGTTGCTTTCTGCCCACACAAAGCGCAAAGTCAGCCTAGGCCCCTCGCCCAGCCGCCCCCATAGAATAGCCACATGGCCCCAGCTCTGCACTTGGCAAACCCTAAGCAGCTTCCAGAAGCCTCGGTCATGCCGGTGGGCACCTTTCCCAGATACTCTTTTATTTTTTCCATTATTTTGTTGGTAATAAGGAAAAGTCACTTTTTGCATAGAACAGACGGTATTTTCTTTGCTCCCCACAATGTTCAAGCATTTCGTGGCTTCCAGCCTGAGAACAGAGCCAAATCCTTCCCTTGTGCAGATGCCTCATGAAGTTAGAAGCAGCTAGGGAAACTGAGTCTGTGCCTCAGTTTCCCCTGCTGGGATGAACAGTCCCTCTTGTGCTGGGTCAGACTGGGGCTTCAGGGTGGATGGGCCAGCCTGAGAGGAGCACCCAGACCTGATCATGTAATAAATAGGTAACAGAAGAGTCATAGAGTGTCTGGGCTCACGTCTGTCATTTCAGCATTTTAGGAGGCCGAGGCAAGAGGATCACTTGAACTCAGGAGTTTGAGGCCAGCCTGGCAACATAGTGAGACGTGGTCTCTAAAAATAAACTTTAAAAAAAGGAAAAAAAGCCGGGCGCGGTGGCTCAAGCCTGTAATCCCAGCACTTTGGGAGGCCGAGGCGGGTGGATCACGAGGTCAAGAGATCGAGACCATCCTGGTCAACATGGTGAAACCCCGTCTCTACTAAAAATACAAAAAATTAGCTGGGCATGGTGGCACATGCCTTAATCCCAGCTACTCAGGAGGCTGAGGCAGGAGAATTGCCTGAACCTAGGAGGTGGAGGTTGCGGTGAGCCGAGATCGCGCCATTGCACTCCAGCCTGGGTAACAAGAGTGAAACTCTGTCTCAAAAAAAAATAAATAAATAAAAATAAAAATAAAAAAGGAAAAAAAAAAAAGAGAGAGAGAGAGACAGAGAGAGAGACACACAGGGATTGAGACAGGGAAGGACAACATCTTTTTCACTTGATCTTAGCCAAAAGGCCGAGAAGCGATAGGGCAAGATCTTTTTCAAGGCCAAGGTAGTCAGAGAGGCTTCCTGGAGGAGGAGACAGGGTGGTGGTGCTGAGCCTGGAAGGACAGGCAGAAGAGATGCCTGCAGAGAGGGCATTCCAGGCGGATGGAACAGTGTGAGCAAAGGCCTGGTCGGGGGAAGACTTACATCTTGGCCCGGGAGTCAATCTCCAGAGACAACCCGACCCAGAATTCACCTAAACGTAATTTGAATGTAGCTGCCAGCTCAGATATGCGATTCTTCTGAGAAGGAAACAGAAATAAAGGAACAGGGAAAGGAGACAGGAACAGAGGTCTTGGAGATGAAAAGCAAAAGCCTCTCTGAAGTTGTCAAAAGACTCAAGTGTCGGCCAGGCATGGCGGCTCACGTCTATAATCCCAGCACTTTGGGAGCCCAAGGTGGGCGGATCACTTGAGGCCAGGGATTTGAGACCAGCCTGGCCAACATGGTGAAACCCCGTTTTTACTAAAAATACAAAAATTAGCCAGGTGTGGTGGCACGCACCTGTAGTCCCAGCTACTCGGGAGGCTGAGGCAGGAGAATTGCTTGAACCTGGGAGGGGGAGGTTGCAGTGAGCTGAGATTGCGCCACTGCACTCCAGCCTGGGTGAGACTTTGTGAAAGAAAGAGAGAGAGAGAGAAAGAAAAAAGAGCCGGGCGCGGTGGCTCACGCCTGTAATCTCAGCACTTTGGGAGGCCGCGGTGGGTGGATCACCTGACGTCAGGAATTCGAGACCAGCCTGACCAACATGGTGAAACCCCGTCTTAAAAAACAAAAAAAAAAAGAATAAAAATTTAAAAAGAAAATAAAAAATAATTTTTTAAAAAAAGAAAAGAAAAAGAGAGGGAGAGAGCGAATGAGGAAGGGAGGGAGGGAAGAAGAGAAAGGAAGAAAGAAAGAGAGACAGAGAAAGAAAGGAAAGAAGAAAGAAAGAAAGAGACTCAAATGCAAGGCTCAGAGCTTTAGGGCGCCACAGGCCTTGGTTCCAGGGAGCTGCAGGGCCTCTGCCCACAAACCAAGGGCAATGTGTGATTTTGGGGAAGGTGCCAGAGAGAGGGCAGCA